CCTACGATCCGTAGGTGTCCTCCGTAGGGGAACCTGTAACATCTGAAAATCTGCTAAGTTTTCCTTTCTGAATCTTGCATGTTACATTCAAGGTTGTTGTTACTTTTCTAACATAGACCTCAGATCCGACTATCATCACTCAAAATCAAAGATAGTGGCATTCCAAAGATATATTTCAGAACACGGTATGATCGTTATGAATTTGTAGTTATGTCTTTTGGACTAACAAATGCTCCTACAACATTCATGGACTTGATGAACAGGATGTTCAAACAGTATTTGGACTTGTTCATCTTCATATTTATTGATGATATCCTCATTTACTCTCGAAGTGAGGAGGAGCAAGTGACTCATCTGAGAGTTGTTCTGCAAACTCTCAAAGATCACCTGTTAGTCGCTAAGTTTAGAAAATGTGAATTCTTGTTACAGTCCATTGCTTTCCTTGTTCATGTGGTATCTAGCGAAGGGATCTGAGTGGATTTTCATAAAAATGAGGTAGTACAGCATCGGCCCAGACCCACCTCTTAAATAGATATCAAAAGTTTCTTGGGTTTGGCCGGTCATAACATGAGATTTGTTGAAGGATTTTCATACATAACTTCCCCGTTGCCGATGTTGACTCAGAAGAAGGTCAAATTTCAGTTGTCAGATGAGTGTGAGAAAATCTTCTCAAAATGAAGACTAGGTTAACTATTGTGATACCAAATGGTTCAGATGATTATGTTAATTATTGTGATACATCCAAGGTCAGCCTAGGTTGTGTGTTGATGCAGCAAGGTAAGGTCATAGCTTATGCTTCTAGACATCTTAAGGTCCATGAGAAGAAAAACCCGACTTATGACCTCGAGCTTGCAGTCTTAGTATTTTCCCTAAAGATTTGGAGACACTACTTGTATGGTGTTCATGTTGATATCATCATTTGACTTATTTTGTGTTGCTTGTATCGAAAAATTTCTCTTTGTTGTAGCCGAAGTTATACTGCTTTGAGCGTTATTTTTCTTGGAGATCTTTTCATGTTTCTTAGCAATATCATGAAATGTATTAGCCCCATAAGAAACTCCAATAATATTATCCAGCACAACATTCCCATTGTCATCCAAACCTCTATAGAAATACTCCTTTAGTGTCTCATCATCAATGTTGTAACAGCTAGCAGGATTCACTAATTTATCCTGCGACCTATACCTATGGCTCATACTGGAATTGATGGCTCGTAGGTCAAGTCGTACATCACCATAAATCTCTGTTGTCGTAACTCCTTAACACCAACTACTCCAGAACCTATTTCCTGCAAAAGTCAGAGCAAAAACACCATAACATCTAATAATAAAATGTCCAAGACTCATACAAAACTCTAAGTTTAACGCATCAAAAGTACCGTAAATTCACAGTACATCAATATCCATGCACCATCACAAGTTGAGTTGAAATCTTTGAGATTGAGGATCAAATTCTTCATCAGATCTCTAGTTTGAGGTGTCAATTTAAATCATTTTAGATCTCAATTTTTTTAAAACATTATTAGAAACATTGTTTACTCGAATAAAGATTCCATCTTTTTATTTTATCTCAGTTATTATTTCAATCTTTTTTATTATATCATATCTTCATTCTTCCTGCCCCTTTGATTGCATTTTCTTTTATTTGAATTATTTGTTAGCAAGTTTTTTAGTTCACGCATAGTATCTTGATATGCTTAAATTTATTGTCCTTCCAGTCAATGTTTGATATGTTTAGTTAGAAAACATTTTATGTTTATGGACCAAAATGCTTAGCTTAAGTTTTAATATTTTTGTTAAATAGTATTTAACTTTAAGTATTTTGGGAGTCTTATATTAGTTGATAGTGTTAAAGTTTTGAGTAATTTAATTTGTGACTAGTCAAAATGAGGTAGTAAAGAAGTTGGGGAGTTTTAGTAGTTAAAAATTGTTTATTGACGATTGTTTGTATGAAGTTTTAATTTATATGATGTTACATACTTTTGTTCTTTCTCATCATCTTAATCAAGTTTGAATGCTTTCCTTTTTTTAATAATTTGGTTTAGAATGTTAGTACGAGAATTTACGGTCTAAATCGTAAATATCTATATAAAAGAGAATCCTAGGCCAGCCTACGTGGCACCCTTAGAATTGAGGAATTTACTTTTATATTTTACTTTCTACTTTTAGCTTTTCACTCCTATTTTATTTTAACCTTTAAACCCTCTTCTTCAACTCTTGTGTCCCTTCAGACAGTTATATCTGTTCGGTTGTGTCTCTTCAGAGATACCTATAAAAACTAAGCAAATCATACCGGTATTTGTATCTTCTTCTTCTTGAAAATTTTCATCCCTAATTTCTGTGGAACTTCGTCAATTCCTTAGAAGTCTACTTTGGATCTTCACAAAAAATATATTGACACATTATAATTTTATTATTGTTTTTTTCACCATTTATCATGACAAAAGAAACACTATTTCAACTGTTCAATTGTTAACCAACTGATTACAACCATGACAATTTTATGGTTCTTACCTACTTCTTTTTGTAGACTTTTTTCTTCTCCATCAGTTTGTTCAACAGTTTATATTAGAGTTCAATTCAATTAAATGTTAAATTTTGTCTTTTATGAATTCGTATCAAATTACTTTTGTGTTTTTTGTTTTGAAAACTTTTTAAGCATACTTAATGGCATCAAAATTGAGGAAGAGATACCATAGAGAGAATAAGTTCCTCCACAACTAGATAAGGTACTTGTACATGTTAATATATTTTATTGAGAGTTGAAATTTTGTTGTATTAATCATATCTCCAAAATGTTTTACATTTTGGCCAATGTGGAAAAGTCACAACTCTTTGAAAAAGTCACAATTCTTCAATGTGAAAAGGTGTTTGCTTTTAATATATTTTATAATATTTTCTTCTGTCATCACATTTTTCGACATCTTATGTTAGTATTATATTCAATGATCTGTAAAAAAAAATAATTTATGAATTCGTAATGAATTACTTTTATGTTTTTTGTTTTGAAACTTTTTATGCATGCTTGATGGCATCAGAATTGAGGAAGATACAACAAAGAGAGAATAAATTTCGCTGCAACTAGATAAGGTACTTGAACATGTTAATATATTTTATTGATAGTTGAAATGCCGTTGTACTTATCATATCTCCAAAATGTTCTACAGTTTGGCCGATATGGAAAAGTCACAACTCTATGAAAAAGTCACAATCCTTCAATGTAAAAATGTGTTTGCTTTTAATATATTTTATAATAAAAATAAATATAGTATGGAATATTTTGTAGGATTTGGGCTAAGACTTTTGATATTAATACTTATCCATCTTCTTTGAGATAATCAATAAATTAGACCATTGGTCCATGAAGTTTTTAAAAAAAATACAATATGAAACATAGAATGTGTAGGGTGTTAATAAGAAGAAGAATATAAAATATAGGAAATTTGTGGTTTAAATAAGTGAGAGAATCCCACTATTTATTGCCAACAAAGGGTATTATGAATAACTATTTATTGTGCCTTATTTGAAAAGTCACAATCTTTCGAAAAAGACAAAACTCTTTAGAAAAGTAACAACCCTTCGAAAAAGTGACAACTCTTTGAAAAACTCGCAATTCTTTGGAAAAGTCATAACCGTTTGAAAAGCCACAATCCTCCAATGTGAAAAGATGTCTTCTTTTAATATATTTTATATTTATATTATTGTATAAATAAGTATAGCATATGTACTGAATTAGGTGTTTTAAGAAGAGGAAGAAGAAAACTTTAAAAAACTGTAGTTTTAAAATTTGAGGAAACTCCTCTATTTATAGCCAACAGAGGTAGAACGAACATGTGCTTATTGCGCCTTATAAAAAAATACATAACTCTTGAAAAAATTTGCAACCGTTCTGAAATGTCACAACTCCTCTGAAAAGTCATAACTCTGTAGAAAAGTTACAACCCTTCAGAAAAGTCACAACTTTTTGAAAATGTCATAACACTTTGGAATAATCGCAACCCTTATGAAAAGTCACAATCCTTTGAATAGATTACAACTTATCGAAGAAGTCACAACTTTTTGGAAAAGGCACAGCCTTTTGAAAAATTCACAACTCCTTGAAAAGTCTCAACACTTCAATGTGAAAAGGTATAGATATGCTTTAAATATATTTTATAAGATAAATATTTAAAATAATGTAATATAATATACTATAAAATTTAAAAGATATATTAGATTGAATGTTTTCAGTTGGGGTATTCTAATGATGTAACATTGAAGTTAGGGAGTTCATGATTTCAAGGTAGTATAAATATGAATAGATAGATAGATATACAAGTCGATAGATAGATCGGTATATAATAAAGGTATTATATATATATATGTATATATATATGTTATAACATATTTTTCACAGATTGCTTCATAAACTTCCACATTCATTATTCAGAAAAGTTTAAATGTTTCAATTACTATTTTTCTATTCTTTGTTAATGATTAATACGTAAAAAAGTTGGAGAGCCTCAATTATTAAAACTAACCTTTCTCGATTCTCCTAATGACTTGTAATTGTTTTTATTTCCTATATTTTTTCCCAGCTTGTGCCCTCAAGATTAACAGACATGTGACTTGGTTTGTTCATAAACCTTTAGTTGTTCTTTTTTAAAAATGTATTTCAAAACATTTTTAATTTTTAAATATGATTAGAAAGTTTTTAAAAACATAATCAGTGTTATATAGTATTTGTATTATAGTGAATGTCTATTATGTGCAGCCCTTTTAGGGTATGGTTAGGAATCCTACTTGAGGACCAAGTTAGATTTCCCCTATAAATAGAGAGGTCCTCTTCATTGTAAAACCATCCCTCAAGAGAAATAATAAGTCTTCTCTTCTCTCTACTTCCTTCTTCTTATTCTATAGTTTCATAACACATTATCAACATGAGACTCTACCATCTCAGAAAGTGAAGGTTAAGTTTGAAGAATTAATAACGTATTATTTATTCTTTTGCATTTAATATTAATGTCCAATCTTACGAAACTAGAGTTCATTGACATTCATAGTTCGGGCAAGAACTACCTTTCATGGGTGTTCGATGCTGAAATCTACCTTGATGCAATGGGTCTTGGAGACACCATAAAAGAAGAAAATAAAACATCAAAGCAAAACTGTGCACGGGCAATGATATTCTTGCATCATCATCTTGACAAGATACTAAAAATTGAATATCTCACAGTTACGGATCCACTTGTTTTGTGGAAAAGACTAAATGAAAGATATGACCACTTGAAGATGGTCATACATCCAAAGGCACAGTATGATTGGATGCATCTAAGACTACAAGACTTTAAGTCTATACATGAGTATAATTTTTTCATGTTCAGAATCACTTCTCAGTTGAAATTATGTGGAGAAACGGTTAGTGATATTGATATGATGGAAAAGACGTTCTCCACTTTTCATGTCTTGAATGTGCTCATGCAGCAACAATATCGAGAGAAAGGTTTCAAAAAGTATTCTGAACTAATTTCTGATTTTCTTGTGGATGAGCAAGACAATGATTTAATAATGAAAAATCATGAGAATCGGCCTACTGGATCTGAACTACTTCCTGAGGTGAATGAGGCGTACGCCCATCATGCTAGGCGTGGAAAAGGTCACGGCCCAAGTGGTGGTCGTGGATGTGGACGTGGACGTTGTCGTGATTATGGTCAAGAACGTAATTCTTTTCCTGGTGTTAATCATTCAATAAATAAGAATCACAATCAAAAGGAAAAAAAGGATGAGAAACGTAAAGCAACTATGACAGGTTGTTTTCGATGTGGTGTAAGAGGTCATTATGCATGGATTATCGTACTCCCAAACACTTGGTTGAGCTTTATCAAGAATCGCTAAAGAAGAAAGAGAAAAATCCTGAAGCAAATTTTGTCTCTGAAAATCAAGTTGACATCACACACTTGGATGTAGAAGATTTCTTCGCATACAACTTTTGTTTCCGAAGAACATCGTAACAATACGAAGATGACCTATATGCTCTTCCTTACTTTTCAAATAAACCAAAATGTCATTAATAAAAACTGTAACAAATGAATCAAGTAATGGTTTAAACACACCATTCATCAAACTCATGAATGTTGCAGGCCCATTTGTCAACCCAAATGACATTACTAAAAACTCATACTGCCCATAGCGGGTCCTAAATGTCATCGTGGGTACATCCTCAGGCCTAATCTATAACTGATGGTAACCATATCTTAGATCGATCTTATAAAAATGGATGCACCTTGCAAACTGGATGCACCTTGCAATTGGTCAAAAATATCATCTATTTGAGGCAATGGGTACTTGTTTCGAATGGTGACCCTATTCAATTGCAGTAATCTATACACATCCTCATAGTACCAACCTTTTTCTTAACAAAAAATAGAGGAGCACCCCACGGGGAAGCACTGGGATGGATAAAACCTTTATCAAGAAGTTCTTGGATTTGAACCTTAAGCTCTCTTAACTCTACCGGAGCCATGCGATAAGGAGGGATAGAAATGGGGCGGGTACCAGGTTCCAAATCAATGCAGAAATCTATATCTCTATCCCAAGGCATACCTGGCAAAATAGTAGGAAACCTTTCTCTAAATTCCGACACCAGATGAATGGACTCAATAGAGAGAGACTCTACCTCAACATCCCGAATATGAGCCAAATAAGCCAGACAACCCTGCCCTACCAGTTTCCTAGCACAAATGGAGGATATCATCTTAACTTGCTTAGGCTTGTACACCCCTTCCCACTCTAATTTTTTTCCTTTTTGGAATTTCTAGAGTCACAGACTTAGTATAACATTTTAACATAGCATTATGGGGAACAACCAAGTCATGCCTAAGATTATATCAAAGTCAGTCATGTCCAAAATTACCAAATCAACGCAAGTTTGAAAACCCATAAACAAAATAGGACAAGCACGATAGACATTGGTGACTATGACAGAATCTCCAACAGGGGTAGAAGCATGGATGGGGCATCACGTGCATCAAAAATCATATCAAATCCAAAGGCAAACTGAATGGATACATAGGAATAAGTAGAACCCAGATCAAATAACACATTAGCCATCCAACCACAAAAAAGAATAGTACCAGTGATCACTGCATCAGACGCCTCCTCCTCGGTCTTTCCCAAAAAGGCATAACACTGTGCCCTGTCATCATGATGGGTGACTTCCCTGTACCTCTGCTTGCATTACCATTTCCCCGACCTCTACGACGTCACTGATTTCCTTCTCACCCACTTGTGGACGTCCTCTACCATTGTTACCATTGCTTGCGGGTACCAATGCTCTAGTCTACTGCTGCACGGAATCTAAGATGCATGGGTGTGGAAAATCTCTCCTCATATTCCCAGGTTCTCCACAATTATAACAAGTGCGATCGAAAGATGGCATGCTGCTCGTGAAAGGTGCGGCTCTCTGACTATCCTGAATCAAATTCTGAGATGGATTTCCCGAGTAATTACTTGTAGAAATGGGCCTAGCGGACTGAATTGGCCGAGTTGCAAGTGTTTGCCTACCTGAACCTCTGGAGTAAGAACCCTGAAAGTTAAATGTATTCTTAGCTTTCTTAGCCAATGCCTTTGCCTGACTGTCTCACCTCATCCCCTCCACTTTCTTCACAAGATATGATATATCATTGATGATTTTTCCTGCAGAGGTCATATGAACAGACAATACCTGCAACTCAGGATTTTGTCCCTTAACAATTAGGCAGATACTCTCTTCCTCAGTAGCAACCAATTGCGCAACTGTAACGACCCTAAAAATTAAATTGGAAGAACTAGAGCCTCTCATGTGTTTTTGTAGCGGTTATCTTGTTTAAATGATAAGTTTTGGCTTTTCAGGCTTACCTTAAAGATTTTTGAGGAGTCAACGTCAAGGCACGTGTTAGATTCTATGCTATGAGACATACTCTAGGTTGGTTGAGGGTGCTAGACAAGTAGCAAAGCCAAAAGGGGCAGGCCTTAGCCAAAAAGACAAGGTTGTCCTAAGTAGGCTGCTCACTGCCCCAAAGACCACGAGCACCACCACGACCAGTGGTGCCCTAGACGGTCCGTATAGTTGGGCGTGAAGATCACTTGGTCTCAAGGGAGGCAAGGCAACTTTGCCTAGGTGCTGCCTCATCTTCACAAGCTCCACCACGACTCGTGGTGTGCAACACAGATCATGGGAGCTCCCGTGAAGATGCCTTGGGCCCTTGAGGGCTTAACATGGAGGAGAGGCTCACTGTTCAAGGTACCACAGGAAGCACCACGAGCCGTGGTTCTCTTAACGACCCGTTTAGTTAGCGGTGGTCCCTGACGGGCTGCCTCAAGTTGAAGGGTTTTTGGTAATTCTGTTTTAATGTTTTATTATGTGGGGTTGATTTTAAATGAATTATTTGATAATTATATAGGGTTTTAAGTCTTTTTAACAAGTCATTTACTCTCTTTAGACCCCAAATCAAAACCCTATTTCCTTTCTCTCCCAAAGTCTTCTCTTTAGAAAGTCCTTTGGAGCTCAAGGTCAAGTCAAGCTACGGTTGATGATTTCATGGTATTTCTTCTTCAATTTCGTTTGGGTCTTGAAGATTAAGGTATGGGGACTCTTCATCTTTGATTCCTTCTTCAATCAAAGAGTCGATTCAAAAGATTTCAAATGTTGTTCAAAAACTCAAAAATAAACCTAATTTTAATTCTAGCATGGGTTCTAGTATTAATTGATTTTGATTGATGTTTTAGGTTGTTATTAATGATTATTGGTGGTTTTCAGAAATAAATCTTCTTGAACCCATGTCTTCTCAAATTTTCTAAATTTGGCCTAAAGTGGGTCTATTGATTTTGAGTAATTGAAGAAAGATTATAGAGTGGTTTGATGTAGGATGTTCTTATATGCTCTTAGCTATGTTGAATTGTTGGAAATTGTTATTAAATTGTATAATGTGAGGTAGTAGCATAGAATGGTCATAAATTGGGATTTAGCCTTTATATTGGTTATTAGATATTGTTTAGCTTAGCTTGTATAGTTGAATGTTGTTATTATCATTTTTATTGTATTGTTAATTGTTGGAATATGAGGATGATGAAGATAGATATGGAAAGAGGTAAAGTTGACCTAACTTGATGAATATTGTATAATTGAAATGGAATTGAGTATTGTGGCTTATGGCCTTTGAAAGGTGATAAGATGGCTTGATCTCTTAATATTGCTATAATTTTTTCTTAGGTTGGATCAACCTTTGGTGGAAGTGTTGCTTGTTGCTCTAGAATTGCGATTGTGGCCATGAAGGGCATTATATGAGTATTGCAGTATTGTTGTGTTATTATATATATAAATGAAGCTATATGAAAAATCCTATATGAAGCTATATGTAAAGTTTTATGTGAAGCTATATGTGAAGATATGATGCGATTGAGATTATGTGATCTTGTGATGATCCTATGTAAAGTGGATAGCATTGTGATCTAAAGTATGAATTCTCATGAGGTACATATGTGATGATGTTGGAATATGAAGTGTCCTCAAATGATAATGTTGTGACTTGGTTAGTAGACTAAAGTGTCTCTTCTCGTCAGTTGAAGTCTTGAATGCATGAATATGTGAAGTGGGCTAGAACTAAGAAATGGTGTCCTTTTTTTAAATGCTAAAAGAGAAATTCTAGGCCAAGCATAGAATCTGCAGAACAAAGAAATGGTGCCCTTTCAAAAGTCTAGATTCCTAAGTAAATGTATAACCTTGATGGATGGGCCTTAGGGCGATGTTCCCTTCTTGAGTGAAATGATAGACTTAGAGATGGATGGTGCTGGAACGACATGAGAATCCTTATCTAAGAAAGTTAATTGAGCTATCCTTATAAACCTTGATTGGCTATGACTAAGAAATGCGGCCTTTCTTGGGAAGAGGTACTATGAGTTGGCTGAACTTGAAAAGGAACCCTCTCTAAGTACATATGTGATTGAATACTCTATGGGAAATACGGCTAACACCGAGTGGATGTGGTTAGGAAGGTGGCCTAGTTGAGTATGAGATTAGTCACAATGAACTTTCTTGGACATCTCCTAAACCATGGGCCTACATGGGTTGCCTACTAGTTCTAGTTCTACCCTTGGCAAGTAGAACAATCTGCACGGAGTAGGATAGACTCCGGATTCCATACCTAGCTAGTATGGTCTATGTCGGTTATGCCTAGTCCCATCAAATGGGATGTGCACTCTAGTATTGGATAAGTTCTACAAAGTGTAGGTAGTAGTATGGGATGCTACGTATACATGACACGAGTAGGCCTAGAAGATACTAAAAGTGAGTTCCCTAACTCTAACGACTATTATGTGAAGGTCCCCTTATGTGCTTGAATGTCTCCAAAATGGTTTCTTAAAAGAATGTTGGTCTATCAATGTTATGTTGTAAAAGAAATGTCCTTATCTAAGGTAATCTTGGGGAACACTTAAGTGTGCTTGAAGAGGTTGTATGGGCGGTCACTTCTTGTCTCACTTAAGTGTGTCTTTAGGTTATATTAGGTAGAGGTCCTATTGTAATGAAATGGCATGTGTTTTCTTAAAGTTATGCATTTGGGTTGTATATGGATATATGTTGAGTAGGTGTAGGGTTTGCTATATATAGTCTTATATGTGAATGTTATATTTGTTAAGTGTAGGTTTTATCAAAATGATATGAAAGCATACATTCCTTGTAAATGTCTGTTGTGCATCTTTTTGCATGGTCTCCATACTTAGTACTAATTGTGCTAACCCCATTCTTTCCCTTTTTGATTAAAGTGTAGCGATTTGGAGATGGTGACATGTCATAGCTACTTGATAGGTTTCTAAGTGTTGAAGATGAGGACTTGGTGAGTCCATATAGATACGAGGAC